AGTGTGCAATTCATTGCCCCTTGAAAAGTACCAGGTGCACCGGTCAATCCAAAGGCCATAACACGGAACTCATAGTGCCCCAAGTAGGTCTGAAATGCTGTCTTGTGTTCGTCTCTAGGCTACAGCAAAATCTAGTGGAATCCAACTCTCAGATCAAGCTTGGTGAACCAACTGGCATGAGTCAATTCGTCCAGGAGCTGATCGATGATAGGAACCGGATACTTGGACTTAACAGTCATAGAGTTCAACTTTCTGAAATCAACGCAGAACCGATATGAGAGATCTTTCTTCTTCACTAAGAGGACTGGTGAAGAGAACATGCTGCTACTTGGTTGAATAAGCCCTTGTGACAACATCTCATGTACTTGGCATTCAATCTCGTCCTTAAGGGCTGGAGGATAGCGATAAGGATGGATGTAGAAGGGTCGAGAACCAGGAAGGAGTGGAATTGAATGGTTGCATTGGCGAGAAGGTGGCAAGGAGTCTGGAGCTTGAAACAAGTCAGTGAACTCATCAAGGAGGGACTGTATAGCAGTAGGAATACCGGCAGATGAGAAGGCATCAGTTGTATTCTCCAGACTATAGACTTGTAACAACAACTTACTCGGAGCCTCCATGGACTCGCCTTGCAATAGAACGGTACTGCCCTCATATGGTATGACCAGCTATTTAAGTTGCCAGTGGACCTGCATAGGACTGAAGGATTCCAGCCAATCCATCCCAATAATCATATCAAATGCAGTCAGTGGGAGAACCCAAAGATCAGAGGTGAAACAGAGTTGGCCGATAGACCACTGAACAGCAAGCAGGGTAACTGCACTTGTAAGAGTACCACCACCCGCAATGCAAACTTGGCACGAAGATGGCTTAACAGACACCTGGCTGAGTTGAGCTGCCACCGACTCACTGATGAAGGAGGTTGAACTGTCGGAATCGAGCAAGATGTTCAATGGAATGCCCTGAACTGTCCTTGAAAACTAAACAGTGCGAGGAGCAGAACTGCCAGTAAGAGCACATTGAGAAAGAGCCAAGAAAACCTGAGGTTCAGTATCGGCTGGGGAGTCATCATCTTGAAGGAGATCCCATAATTCCTGAACAACATGGAGCTGGACCTGAGGATTGCACTTGTGGTCCTTGCTCCACTTGGCGCCACACTTGTAACAAAGTCCCATGGCGCGTCGATATGTTTTGACGGCGGCCAACTTAGCATCAACGGACATCGTGGCTGGGGACGGTGTTGCCGCAGTAGGGGCCGGCTGCTTGTCAGGCCACGGTGGGAGCGGCAATGGCAGCGCCGTCTTGGGGATAAATTTGTTGGACGATGTCCAATCAATCTGGGATGACGCGCGAGACGTCGGTACCGTGGCCACCTCCTCCTGCACCAATGCCATAGAAATAGTAACATCCAAGCTTTTTGGTTTGGAAATAAGAATAATTGCTTTAAGCTTAGGTCGGAGTCCATCAACGAAGTGCATAGTATAGAAGAGTGGATCAGTGGTAGCAGAATAGGCCTTGAGCTGATCAACGAGTTTTGTGAAACGCTCAACATAATCGTTGACAATAGAGGTTTGTTTAATTTGGAAGAGCTAGCGTATGAAGGCCTCATGTTGGTCACGATCAAAACGATCATGGAGAGATTGACAGAAGGTGGTCCATGAAGCGATGGCAGGTGTGTTATCGATGGACTCATACCAGCAAGCAGCATTTCCCTCCAAATACATGGAAGCTACGCTGACCCATAGAGACGGATCAACTGCGTTCATGTTAAAGTATTTCTCGCAATTGGAACGCCAGAGACAGGGATTTTCACCATTGAATTTGTTGAAGGAGAGTTTAGGAAGGCGACCGATAGGATGATGATGAAGGTGGTTTGGGGAAGGAGCTTGGAACAGAGGGGAATGAAATGGTGGGCGAGGTGGAATTGTGAGCGAAGGTGGGGAACGATAATGAAGGGAAGGAGGAGGACGCTGCAGGGCGGATGAAATAGGCAGAGGAGGAGGAGGATCGGGAGGCTTACCCGTGACCGGGACATTAGTCCAGGTCATGACTGACCCAAACCCAACGTCCCGGTGAGACGATGCAGTGCCGTGCCCACTGGGCGATTCGACGGGCGCGTCGGCAAGAGAACGGGCGGGCGTCGAGGAGGAAGGAGTGCCGATGCTGGGCCACTGCGGCTGGGCGTCGAACACCTTGTGTTCAGGAGCCTAGGAGATCTTCTTCACCTTGATCTTCAGATCATCCGCGAGGGCCTCGATCTCCGAGCGCCAGGTACCGAGATCCGTGGTGGCGACCTCGAGAGCTGTGATGCGGTCGACGCTGTCGGTGAGGAGTTTGCCGCCGCGGAGAGCTTCCAGATCAGCGACCCACTTGCCGATATCGAAGGCGAGGTCGGAGCATGTGGACTCAAGAGCGTCGAAGCGCTTGTCGACGGCGACGGCGTGGTCGGCGCGGGCACGGTCGAGATCGACGAACCGGCCCTTCCATTGCTCGTCGTGGGCATCGAATCGGCGATTGAAATCCTTCTTGGACTTCTAGATCTCGTCGAGGATGACCTTGAGTTGGGGATCCATGGCGCCCAGGGTGCTACGGAATCTGGTGAAGTGGTTGTGGTGGATTTGGTGGGTTCCAGCTCGTCTATGGTGCACGCCGCCGATCACAACGACCTTGGCACGGACCTATGGGTTCCACGAACCACACCGAAGTGAGGACGAGGATCAACCAGCCGTCGGGAATTACGTTGCTGGATCAAGGAGGAGCGAACAGGGAGAGAGAGCAGGATCGAGGAAGGCGAAATCCGATACCAATTGTGAGCAATGGGGAATCGCTTGCTCAGGAAGAAGAAGGAAATCAGGAATGCTCGACTGGAATTTAGATGTACTGAATATAATGTGCAGAATGTAACAGATAAGTGCTTAACAGATGAGTACTTGAATAGTGCTAAGCGTGATACATTCTTGTCTAAAGCCCCCTTTCCTAGCATACTCGAGTCTTATACTATTATGCCTAAGCCTTCCACTCTGGGCCGGACAGCCTGACGTTGGGCCGGTGCTCGCGGCCGGGCTAGGCCTGCTCACTTGTAGATGCTTCATCATAGTGTATCACTGGAGCCATAGAAGAAGTGCTGACAAGTAAGGGCTAGAGTAGCATTTAGCACTTTTGCTAATAGCCTAATCTTCTCTTAAGCACATATGGTGGCTAGAGCATAAAGTAATGAGACTCAACTCAACTCAACTATAGTTTCAGCAAGCTCTAACACACTTCAAATGAGGTGGAGGTATATATAGCCCCAACACAACCAACTAGCAATTGGAAACAAGGGTTGTCTCAGTAGGGTGCACTAAAATTCTCCTGTGGCCACACCGGAGAAATCCAGTGCTCCCTTCTACTCCAACTAGCTGTTGCTGACCATTGAATCCTCTCTCTGGTTTCTTTAGTGCGCCATTGGACAAATCCGGCGCACAATGCATGTGCATGTGTCTCTAGAGTGAAGCTCCGGTGCTTTCTTCACCGCACCCACCGAATGGTTCTTGTGCACTGTTTTGGCTTCTTAGGTCAACACCTAAACTCCGGTACATCATATGGTGTCTCTTCTTCTCCTCCACCAAGTATTATTTATCTCTCTAATGCCAAACTCTGGTTCGACCACCGAAAGTATGTCGTGGCATCTTCCAACTCTGCGGACTCCCACCGGATAGCTACAGTGACCGCAAGAAAGCTCCGGTGCTTTAAGTCACAAAAAAGAAAGCTCCGGTGCTTTCTATGACGTTCTCTCCTTTGCCCTTCTGAGTTAAAATCTTCACGTCCTTTTGTTTGGCTCTTTTTTTATGTCTCGAGTTTCTTGCCTGTCTTTTAGTGTCTTCATATCCGCTATCCGACATGGAGTTTTTGAGAAATTATATGATAAATTATGATAGGCGGTGGGGATGCATTCATCTTTACTAAAAGCATAATTCTCACTTAATTACCTCCCCAAGAAGCAGAGGCGGAACCATCAACTTTGATTAAGGGGGGCCGGACAAACATAATGACACATCGTATGTGTTATAAATATGTAAGTGTATATTTCAACATATTTTTTCTATGCTTCTACATATGTAGTTAGTGTTCATAAAAAATCACAACATTATGATAAAATACGAGTTAAAATGAGCTAAATATGCTTTGTACTGTATTATTAATAAGGGTATTAAAAAAAATTCACTGTTTGGGGGGGGGGGGCACGGCCCCCACTGGCCCCCCTGGTTCCGTCTCTGCCAAGAAGTCCACTAAACTCACTTCTACAAAACAAACAAAAGGTTTCTAGACCCCAACTTTAACTCTCCTTCATGCTTCTAGTTATCTACAATCATACAAGCCCCCACCTTAGTGTCGTCAGGCATAGGCCCTGCCTGGAACTGCGGTCTCCGACCGTGTGGTGCGGTAGCTCATCCGCATCCTCGTGGCCCCGATACAAGGAATCATAGCTCATTTCTCAAATTTTCTCCTTGCGGGCGGTCAGCAAAATCACGGTTATGGCGAGGCATTTGCCGGAATTCTTCGATTACCGTCACCGACACGACGAGATAAGCCGATCCAAACCTTAGTAGCCTGGGAATGGGAACATGGCCCATGTTCTAGTTCCCATGTTCCACGTTCTGGGAATGGAAACCTTCCTGTTCCCATGTTATAAAATGATACCCCAAGAACGGGAACGGCAACTGGACATGGCTGCTAAGATCCAAACAGGGTCATAGGCACTTAGGCAGAATGCACGGTGGTAGCAACTAACAGGCCACCGACTACGGGCCCTTTGATAATTCAACTTAGCACAACACTTTTGGGCCCAGCCCGTAAGATTTATAGGCCCAAAAAGCTCCTGGTAGCCCGATGCCAATGCTCGGCGGCTGCGCCTCTGGCGATGTGAGCCGAGAGAAGCCGAGCTCGATCCGCCAAAGAAGGCGGCGCTCTCTCCGAGTCTCTGGTGCTTCGCCACGAACAAACGTGACGCATCTCGAGCTTCGATGGACTCTTCCTCTCCGCCCCCATCCCCGTCGCCAGCACCCAGTGGATCCCGTGGCGCCTCTAATGCAACCCAGCGGTGGAGCATCCTTCGCCGCGCGCTGCTTGCTCGTTCCTCCTCCGCGCGCGCCCAAGGTTCCGCCGATTCCCTTCCTTATTTACCCATGCCAACACTTGCGTCCGCTTGGTTTTGCCGTTCATTCGTTTCCGCTTCATCTGCCTTCGCCGAGCGGTTCAAAGAGACGAGAAGGCCTCCTGCCTAGATGATAGGGCAGAAGGCAGCTTGCTCGTGCAAACAAGGAAGGCCCAAACGCTGCTCTTTGTGCTGTGGATTTTAGTTCAAGGCGATTAGTTTCTGTGTTGCGATTTGAGCTGTTGCCCCGCTACTACGAGAAAATTGAATTTGGGACTACTGATGATGATGGGAACATTGGCATTTTGAGCCCGCCTGCTTGATTTTTCAGAAGCTCGGACAAGCACGGTGAAAGCAAAACCCGTGAAGTAGTGCGCGATTTCAGCCTTTAGCTCCTGTGCACTGTGCTTGAACAATTATGATCCAATGGTTTTGAATGCTCAGGCCTATTGTGGCATGTCACGTTGATGGGTTAGCTGTGTTGAAGACTTTAGGGAGTTAGTACAGTCTGATTTGGAGTGAGTACCTTGCTTCAATGAGATGTGTTTAGTGTTATTGATTCAATATATATACTCTGGGAAATTATGGTATTTCACATTTAAAATCAGTGTTTACCATGAAAGTGAGCATGAACATTTAACCAGCCAAATTTCATTATAATTGCAACAAAGTTCAGTCTAATATGGTCCCTTTTAATTTTTACCACTTCAAGGACAAACTCCATTTGGTGGTCCGTAAGTGAGTGTGGGTATATAGGCTTGCGTGTGCTGATCCGCTGATGTGTACACAAAAACTCCACTTCAGTCTATGTTTTAATGATTTGTTTTGGATCCTTTATTCCATATCGCAGCACTGCCGGACTATTAAAGGTAGGGCTGCTGATTTGTTTTATCATATTAGTTTTCTTATTATGCTAAAAGGCAATTGTAGTTTCCCATTCCCAATATTACTTCCGCATTTGGCGTACAGAAATGTAACCGCATATCTTTGTTAATGTATCTTCTATTTAAACATGGCAGTTGTAATAATCAGCATGAAATTTCACGTTTATACTGCTCAAACAGTTCACATTTGCTAATTGTTTTTATATAACCATGCCATGTTAATTTGTTTTTTTATGTTACATTTCCATGCAGAGGGAATTTCTAGTGACCACCAGATTAAAGATGGTACCAACAACATTTCAAGAAAGGCTTCACGTGGCTTTAACCTGATCGAATGCCATTCATTGCCGATTTCACAGCTAGCTAAATCATTTGGGAATTCATTAAATGGAAATGAAAATGATTTTGGCCAGAAGGATGTTTATGTATGTTACAAGCTGCCTTGTAGAGATTCCTCTAAACTTGATCTGGTGTAAGTAGTCTATTATTTGCCCCTAGTTCTCTGGCACACTGAATATAGTTTTCCTTATTTCTGTCCCTGACATAATTGGGAACATGTTGTTTTCCCTACAGTAAGCTCTGTTTGTGACTAAAGATTTAGCCATCATGAATTGTTCAACCAACTAGAAAGGTTGACATGCTATTTTTTCAGTTGGTTATTATTTTAGTGCATGATTCCAGATATAGAAAAGAGGATTCCCTTGAACTCAATGACATTGAGGCTTCGAACAAATACAATATTGACACTACTGGACTAGTATGTAAGTTTTGTTCAAGCAAGTTTATTTTTGCTGTTGAAATACATATGATTCCATCTGTCTGCATCAGTTCATGTGTATGGTCATGTTCATGGCATCTTTCAGTTGCTGTCTGTTAGTACCTGCCAGGTTTGTTTGTGCCTTTTGCTATGATAATAGGAAGGCACGTGTGGAAAAGAAATGTAAACATGTGTGTTATGTACACTATTGTGTCTTGGCCACTTTTCAGAATGTGGCACACAAGCCTTCTATGCGTGGCAATTTTTCCTTGGACTAAGAATTGTGATCCCACAGACCTACTAATACAAAGTTTCTTATACTTGCATCACAGACTATTCCCTCCGGTCAGTGATCACTTAAGCTTGCATATGGCCTTTAGAAGTAGGAAAAAAATCAATATAGAATTGAAAGATCGGTAAAAGAGTTGAAAGTGCAGTGCTGTCTACTGATAATATGCTATTCTGAATTTCATTTTGTTCTTCCACTTTTGCATGTTTAACCCTTCCATGATACTCTCTCCGTTCCAAGTTATAGTTTACTTTATACTTGTAAGCCAAAATTATTTAACTTTGATCAAGTTTTTTATGAAAAAAATATTAACATCTATAAGTTAAATAAAATAATAAATGCACTATCAAGACATATTTCATGGGGAATTTAATGAAACAAATTGGATATTGTAGACGTTGATGCATTTTTCTATAAACTCGGTCAAAGTTAGAAAAGTTTGACTTAGGACAAAGCTAGAGTGAAATATAATTTGGAATGGAGGGTGTATCTTCAATAAAAGTCAGTTCAGTTTCAAGTTAACATGTGTTTTCCTCCCTGAAGGTTGTTGGCCATCAGAAGAGGTCCTTGCCTACTACTGTATTAACCACTCGGATATGTTCAGGTCTGTTGTGAACTGTGGCTTGTGAGATTTATTAAACATGTGACATTCCTGCATAGCTGCATCAGTATGGATTGTTGTGCTAAGATGAAACATTGAACCTTAGCTGATTTATCCTAGCATGGAGTCATGCATTTGTGTGATTGAGTAACTTGCATGGGATCCCCAAATGCTTCAGTTTAAGCCCAAAAACTTAAGTACTCTACATTGTTGGCTTAAAACTTTTTATCAGGATTCAAGGACCTAAGTGAATTGCGTATTCAACAAGCATTGTGTTTTAGGAAAGAAAATAGGCTGGCTTGGCTTGTGTGTTGAACCAAACAGGATCATAGGGTGCATTATTGTGTCACACACTCACAGCATAGAGTGGTAGTGTGTCCTTCTAGTACAACATGTAAGACAAATATACAATAATGATATATAGGTCCTTGTTCCTGTTAATGTTTTCAAAAGCTGTTTACTGTAGCGTGAGAAATAAATCCTTGGGAGGTTTGAGCTGTGTATGTCACCTGAGTTTTATAGTTACACTCTTGCACTAGTTTTCTGTCCATGCTATTTTTCATCATATTTTCTTGATGAGATCAAAAGCAGAAAATGAACAGATATCTGAGTGCTACATTAGTTCATGATCTTTTTCAGCATGTACCTGTTGTTAGCCATATGAACCTATGTCAATAGTCTAATTCCATTGCCCACATTACCTTCAAGGCAAAGCCTTTTCACAATAGTAGTTTGTTGAAAACGTTTGCCATGACAGTAGTTCATTGCTACAAGAATCAGTTCATTTTCACATGAAAAACACAGGAAATTGGAAGAAATCCCACATTCCAAAGGGGGCCTAACTAAGTTCAGTTTCTATTATATTTATCTGATTAATTGAATATTTAGTTCATTACAGGTCCAAGAAAGTGCTTGAGCTTGGATCTGGTTATGGATTGGCTGGACTTGTTATTGCAGCCAGTACAAATGCTGACGAGGTTGTTATTTCTGATGGCAACCCACAAGTAGCTGGGTGTATCCTTCTTAATTTAATGTATGCACAATGGAGTGTTTGCTACTATTGTAAATAGAAAAAAAAAATACAGATTAGATCATTCCAAAATTTAACCCTTTATGGCTTTGTTTTGTACTTCTATTATTTCAAAAACACATTCTTTGGCCTTTGTAAACCATTAACCCGCAGACATTCAGAAGAACATATCCATCAACACTGAGACTTTTGGTGAGACAAAGGTTAAATCTATGATACTGCATTGGGACAAAGAGCAAGCTTCAGAAATATTGAATACTTTTGACATCATTGTTGCAAGTGACTGGTACGTTTGACCCACTTGATTCTTTGCTATTCTTGAATACTGATTATCTTTTCAATCCTGTACCTCCTTACTGTTTTGTCACATGTCAATGATATGCTTGTGAGGTTTGTACTTGGCATTAAGTAACACATTTAATCAGCAAGTGTTTTTTTATTTAGTCAAAAGCTATGTCTCGTGGCTGTTGGTTGGTTTCATATGTACTCTGATTACAACACGCATCTTTACTAGTAATGAAATTGTTATCAGGTCAATAAGTTCCATTAGAACTTTCTTATTCACATTTTGCCTTCCTTGCAGCACATTTTTCAAGCAATTCCATGAGGGCCTTGCCGGAACAGTAAAATCCTTGCTGAAGCATTCAGCAACCTCACAAGCCATCTTCCTGAGTCCCAAAAGAGGTGATTCTCTAGACAAATTCCTGGGAATTATTAAAGAGAATGGTCTGCGTTGTGAGTTGATAGAGAATTATGATCCTACTGTCTGGAATCTGCACAAAAAATATGTGGCTGGTGAGGATAGAACCTGGCCTAATTATGACAAGGAGCATTGCTACCCTCTTCTGGTTAGAATTAGCTATTTTAGTGAGTTCTAGTTTTCTTACATTCTGTTTGATCTTGGACGATCCATTTATAATGTGCATTAGCTATATCCTTTTTTTTATCTATTCCATCCAGCACGATAGTGTAAACCTGGAGGTGGATCTTGGCTAAACATTTCTGAAAGTTCCTCCCTTTTCTATGGAAGTACCAACAAGGCAGTTCAGAGGCATTCACTTGCAAACTCACCTTCCCTTGTCTGACAGGCTTCCATGACATAACTGATACAGCGCATCTGTGACAGTGTGACATGGAACAGTATGCATTATTTTTCATAAGATGATATGCCATTATGTTGAAGTGTATTCAATTCCTCATGATGATTTTACAACACCTCTTTTATTGTTCTTCCAAATCCCGAATGTCTAGTACATATACCGGATTTCCATCCAACACATCTGGTTTTAATCATCGGGTTTCCATCTATGCGGATGATATGGTGCTGTTCCTCTGTCCCATAGCTTTGGATCTGGCATTCATTAAGGAGTTGCTACATTGTTTTGGTTTAGCTTCAGACCTTAAAGCAATATGTCTAAATGCTCGGCCATCCTATTCGATGCCAGGAAGAAGACGTAGCGATCACTCATGAACACTGAACCCATGTCTTGTGTGGTGAATTTCCATGCATTTATCTGTGACTCCCATTTATCGGTTAGGAAGCCTAACCAAGGAGCCTTGGAACTCTCCTTGGTAAGATATGTTGTTACCTCTCCGAATGGATGGTTTCCCTTATGAACAAAGTCAGAAGACTAACTATGGTTAAGGCTGCCCTTATCTATCTCATGATTGCAATGGACCTTCCTAAATGGATCATCAAGGAAATAGGCAAAATTACACGTGGATTTCGTTGGGAAGGTAGAGAACAACTAATGGGGATGATTGTTTGGTTTCTTGGTCCTGTGTTTGCCTGCCGATTCAATATGGAGGCCTAGGGATTCATGATCTTCAAACAATTGGCTGGGCACTCACAAGCTGGCTTGTAATCTAATAAACCTTTTCTTCTTCTTAATAAAATGATGCCCATCTCTCATGTGTGTTCCAGAAAGAATAAACCTGGATTTCTTAGCAGTTGGACAATGACTAGCACTTTTGGTCCCTCATTTTTGCTGTCTTATCCAAAATGGTTACTCAAGTTATTATCTTATGTCTTAACTGATGTGGGTACATATATTACCTTTACTTCATGTGCCAATGAATACTGATGGCTGTACATAATTCAAATTTTGAAATGGTTTTCTTGTAACTTAAAACATTATCATTTGTCCCTCAAGTAGCCAAACTTTTGAGTAAGATGATTATTAGACCCCCTTACATAGAGCTGTTACTCAAGCTTGTCTAGCTATCAAGCTTTGCACAGTACAAGTGCCTATTGGCTATTGATGCTTGCAGTGCACCCTTCGTCATTCTGGCGTTTCAACAACTGCAACTGCAGTAGCATGTATGAGTTGGCAGTGGAATATATTTTATTTTTCTTTGGTGCTTTGACAGCTATCTATGCTTAATCGTTGCTTGTTTATCTAAGTAGATTACTGGTTGCAGGTTGAAAGTAATGTTATTTGTTGCCGCTTTCTATGACTTTGCATCTGCTAGGCTGACGTCTTGACGAACAACGATTGATAAGCTGACGTCTTGACAAACGATGATTGAAGACATATGTTATCTCAATCTAGTGTTTGCTGCATCATGGCACCCACATTGGTTTATTAGCTGATGTTACTGCTGTCTGTATGACTAATTTCTTCATACTTCAACTGGCTCCTATCAAAACGGCTGTTTGGGTATCTTCATGGTTGCTGACTGGATGAAATCACTTTTTGCAGATGTTAGCAAGGTTTCATGGATAACTCATAGCTGATAATGCTCTTGTACTTTGCTATGCCAGCAAGGTGCATGATCCACATATCCTTCTGCATCTGAGTTTATTCACGAGTGGATGCACAGTAGTTTTCACTTCCCCACCTTATCTTGGTTCAGATAATAGGCGCATGTCAGAATGCTCATGAACAACTATCAGCAATACCAGATACGGTGAGATAATTGATAAACTTTTAGAAGGGTTGTCAAGATGTAGTCGTCCCAGTAAGCCTTTTGTCAGTTTGCTGGGTGGTCCGGTCCATTTTCCATTGATGCTATCGTATGCACTTGCTTTAATTCATTTCTTTATGAACCACCTCGTTAGGTGCATTGTTCTTGTCAATCACCATCTATGAACTTTGTAGGGTTACCGTAGGATCAATGGATATTTTCTTGATGAATGTGTATGTGTGTGATAGTTCCAAGAACATATTCACACTATCCAAAGCAGCAGCTTCTTTTTTGCTCGTCCATTGCGAGTACGCCAATACAAGAAAAACCTCCAACAAAATCGTTTTCTTCTGTGTGTTGCTGACGCCACGTGCGAGCTTAGATGAGCTGTCCAAAATATGATCATCACACTCTTTCTTATAAAAATATCCAATATGCTCTGTAAAATATCCTTATCTTTCTAAACTGAAAATAGAAATTTAGGGTGAACTGTTCTACTACAAAATAATTATGATCATCACACTCTTTCTTATAAAAATATCCAATATGCTCTGTAAAATATCCTTATCTTTCTGAACTGAAAATAGAAATTTAGGGTGAATTGTTCTACTACAAAATAATAGAATGTCCATGGAGCAGCTAAAGATGTGACAAAGGATTCTTGTCTTGTTTCTGAATTTCAACTCATGCTAGGAGAATGTCTGCGTTCTCTTCTCCCCCAAACTACATATTTATGCATCACAGAATTCACTGAAAATGGTCGCATATGTGTATCAGTCTATCATTTTAGTACTACAATTACATGCATAATCTAATAATGAGAGCAAAGTTGTAGTAGTAGGCTATTGCTAAGCATGTGGGACACCGATGCAGAGCAGGCCAGCAGGGCATGTTCCATTCCTTAACGACGGACCAATCGAAGGTAGCTTTTGCTAACTGTGGTCGGCATGTACCAACAGTTCCATTCCTTTTCGCCCTTCTCCGTTCACCTTTTCTCTTTACAAGCATCCCTCAGCGCTCCTAAAAGGATTTTCTTTTAGCATCTTTTCTCGCAGGATTGTTGTCAGTTCACTCAACTTTTGACTCAAGATTCCTCCATCCGGTTTAACAAACCCAAATCACAGCTAATAAACCCGTCCTACTTCCAGAGCTTCAGTTGCTAACCGATTAGCAGTCAACGAAATGGTGAAACCTTTGGTTCACGAGGGTGCAACCGGGCGGGCAACCACAGTCCTGAGGACTGCGGTGCCCAATGGACAATCACTAGCAGAAGCAATGGCATACATACATAAACCAGAAAGCTAATGCTGAATCATACATAAACAGAAAGGCGACAATCCTGCTGCCTTACAACTAATGCTGAATCATACATAAACCAGAAAGCTCCTTTTGGTTCAGGCAATGCAGTGCCTCCTGGCGTTTCTTTTCTACTAGGTACTAGCTAACTGAGGCCCAGATGCTGTTGTAGCTGTGCTTGTATTCTAATCAGAGACCTGAGGGCTGCGGCACCGTCGCGTATCAGAATTGGCACTCTGGCAGGACCTTCCCCTGTTGTGAGGGAGAAAACTGAAAACGACGAGTAGGTGACCGATCAGCGTCGCGGTCAGTCGGTCACTGGAAGTCACATGCGGCCTTGGCATCGCGTCAGGTCCTTGCCAAATCTCCGGCGGTTACGGTGAACATGCCTGTCATTGTTACACTGCTGCTAGCAGAAACTGGTCAGTCTGGGATGGAAAAGACTGCTGATCCCCATGCTGAGCGTGCCCGTCACATCCTTTTCTTCTGCAGGCAACTGCGGGGTCGCATCGATCCGAAAGCGGATGGAGAGGTTTCTATTCTACTATGCGAGAGTTCAGCAATGGCGTTTGCTTTGTGATTCCTGAGTGCAGGAACGGGATGTTTGGTATGAGCCGCCCTGGAACTAGCTGCCTTTAACTGTCTTCTTAAGCAAGATCACGAGGCCAGCAGAGAGTGTGATTTGATATATTCGGCAGGTCAAACTGTCTAGGTACGCATCACATTCGTATATCGCTCGCGATGGGACTGTACACGCTGCACCTAACCGAAACATGCATTGATATTTGACAGAAACGGGTGAAATACGTGTATATGCCATCTCCTAGCGGCTAGCGCTGCCCTCTGAGGTCCGTGTCAGTAGCAGTGCAAGCGTACTAACTAACTGCTGAACTGACAGTGCTTCTTCTGTTGGTTAGAAGACAAGCTTAGTGCATGGTCGACGGGTCGAGTGAATGTGGATGAATCTGAGAAGCAGCAATAGATTCAGATGTATGGTCCCTACCGTGCTCAGCCGCAGATCGCATCAACTAACCGTGATCTGTACAAAGCATGCCATTACGTTGATAGGCAGGCTGCAGGAAGGCAGGCAGGAACGCCCGGCACCGATCCTTCCTTCCTTTGGCTTCACTCAAAAGCAGAGGACCAGATGAGTGGGCATCATCTCATCCACCGCGCCCGCCCATGTCCTCCCCACCACGCCCGCGCCTGTATATACGTAGGAGTATTTGATTGATCCGCAAGTGCAGTGCAGATCAGATGGCATGGCAACATCTTCTCCCTCCCATGTGCCAACAATCACCAGAGGACGCGTCATCAGCTGCACAGTGTCTGTATGTACACTACTTTAAAGTGGCAGCCGTACTATACCATCAGCGCTACTAGTATTCTAGTGTCTCCGTCCATGCTGCAGCCACCTCATCCATGAGTAGGCCATTTACTTTTCCTTTAGCTGTTGATTGGGGCACGCGTTCGGCTTAGCCGTCAAAATCATCCGCTGCACGCCTGCACCATGACTAGGATTTGCCTTCAAATGCAGCAGGAACGTTCGGTAGGCTGTCCGAGACAGGATAGTGCACCTGCCACGTTGGTGAGGACAGGGCAGTTTGAAGGGAGAGACATTATTGTAACGCAGTAGCAGGTATATGTTCCGCCCGTTCAGAATGATGTAAGCCTG